CTTTGATGTTGCTCTTAAACAAGGAGGAGCTATAGATTATTAAGTGTTGTACATATGCCATCAGCGTTAATAAATCATTTACTTTCTCAGGTGGCCTTATAATTATGAAACGGTGCAAAAGCCGACACTATCTTTAAAAAATTCATAAAAAATTCAAGGTGGAGGATATTGCGACCAAAATTTGAATACGGAGGTACATTGTGATGAGGAATCTTTCTGTGTTTGCCAAAAAATTCCATTCCGGATGCTTTCAGAATCGCAAAAATCGAGGGTGACCTTATAATTATGAAACGCACTGTATTCTTGTAGAGGAAATCAAGTAGATCATTTCTAGAAAAAACTCGAACTCAATATTCAAATTCTATCGTGAGAAAAAAAGCCGCGAAAAAATCCGCAATAATTATGCATCAACCTAATACCATTTGTTAACGTATGAACAAGTCGTTACCGAGAAGTCTGGGCCCTGAGTTCGATAAGAAGAAATCGGCTAGAAGAGGTGTAAGAAAGGATCATAGATTACCTAATAAAAGAGGAAGGGATTTTCAATTTAGTTATATGAAAATTCAAGAACTGTAAAGGTTGCACTAGTTTAAAGAACAGCACTTTTGTTTCCGAATGTCAATTTCGGATGGAACAACATGCTGAGCCCGAACATCTCTCATCGAATCCGACTTGTCTCTTTTTTCAATGAAGCCATGCAAGGAGCAGCTGCATTTTTGGTCAGGCTGGGGCAGATCATTCGTAGTTCACCATAGGGAATCAGGGAATAGCATTTTCGGCTAGAATGGAACCCTAATAACGGCTATGATCTTTGAAGAAAAATTTAATTGTTCCCTAGAACAAGGAAGGAGGGACAGCCTGGTTCACTGCTCAAGCCGGCCAGAAACGATACTGTTCAAGGAATTTCAATCAACTTCTCCAAATCCTTTCCCATAGCGAAGTTCAATCGCTTTTTCCCGTTTCCTCATACTAGTGAAAGGAATCGGGAACGCTCAGTCTATGCCTCCACTTCATTATCTGAGACTAATCCAGGGGTTCAATGAAGGCTCGAAACTTTTGTGATGTGAGCTGAATAACCCAAGCCGTCTCCCTTCATCGTTCCCAATTCTCTGTTTCCTTCGCTATGGAACCATAAAAAGAAGAGACCACATAAAAGAGATAAAAGGGAGATAAAAGTAATCTCCGGAACACTATGAATTTTACTCTTCTGACTAAAAAACTCAACAAGAATCGGTTCTGCTGGCTACCTATGTAGCTAGAGTTTGATGAGGAATGTGCACGTTTTTTGGATTCAGAGAGCGACAAAAATAACAAAAAGGCCCTTCAAATTTTTATCGAGTTAAAATCTTTGCGGAGTACTCACCCCAAAAGTCAAGCCTTGGCTCCATAAGTGGCGAGCTACCAACTGCTCCAGTGATCATTTCTGGATACTTCTGTCGAGCCCATAGGGCAAGTGACCCTGAATTAAAATAAAATAAAAAATATTGTCGACTTTATAGGCGAAGGTTTCAGGCTGCAGGAATGAAGTGATCAAAACGTTAAACAGTTCAGCCTCGTATTCACCATGTAGGGGCTAATTGGCATTTTGACCGCTTCATTCTCAAACAGTAATGAGCCCCACGGCCAATTCAGTCACAATAGTGTAGATTGCAAGGGTTTTTGCATATTTTTTGCTTCGACTTGTGCTATAGTTGTTTTGATGTGGAGGGCAAGACATGCTGGATAAAGATCGAAGATCCTGTTATTGATTCTCAAGTTCTTCAAAGCCTTTACGCTTAGCCACGTCTTCTTCTTTCTTCTTTCACTTCATAATTATGACATTATAATGACAGGATATATAGTACTTACCAGCATACGAACCACCAAACACGATCCATTTCGGATTATTTAGTTTAAATTTGTTGTTCATTGTTTGGATAAAAGTGGCGATATCCTCGATTGCCTGACGGCTATTCAAGTATTGGAGATTTTTCACGGACAAGTCTCTGAAACATTTCCTTGAAATCGATAGTGATGAATTGAGGAATGGCGCAGTCCCGGCGTATGTCCGATTTCCTTTTGCTTGACCCTTACAAATGACAATACAAAGCTAGTGATTGCTGAATTCTTGTGGCCATCCGACGTGCAATCTACATGTTTCGATGTTTCGGTCGTACGGTGAGCCTGCGGTATCTGCATAGTGGGGCGCATGTAAAATAGGACTACATTTAGCAAATTTTTCACATAAAAAGGAGCTTAATTCTTAGTTCATAGATGCTTGTTTAACGCTAGGAACAGATCAACGAGGGAGTCTACCAGACTGAACATTAAAATATGGACGTCATATTAGGTTTAGATCTGTCCGTTAGGATGAATTTTGTGCAGTTGCGATCTATCGGGGACTTAGCACAGACAGCCTAGTCTTGCCAATGCTTCGACTCAGCCGATAGTTAGATTTTTTTATTTTGCTCACTAAGTAGGTAAAACTTCTTCCGAGTGCCAGATGCCGCATCAACCGTCACCCTTTCCACTGCGGACGTTCATTTGAAAGATACCGGGGAGGATCTGGAAATGATTGTCAACTCACTCTGTTGGACGACTTTTTCCATAGAAGCGATGCTCCAAAGCGAACATTAGAGCTCCTCTCTCTTTGGCAAATTGTACGAATGGAATTTTCTCATCGGTTACCTGGAAAGTACTTTGCTATGTGTACTCGGTGCAAACATGAGGAGTGCACTTTTCTGATCTGCTTTAAAGGGAGTTTCCAGTTTCCGTGATTCTCTGCGCCTTTCCTCACGAGTTGTCTGGAATTATATGCCATGACGCATACATAATACTCGCGTGGCGAGTTTCGGAGTGTGCAGGTTTTGTGAGGTCAATCATGGTAAAGTAAAGGTAGGAGCCTCTGGTAACTATCATGGCTCTCCAAATAACATTTTTCTTGCGTTTGTTCTCAGTGATTGTCCACTATTCTATTCCAAGGTGCCATTTCCCCGGTTTTTACTTTATGAGCAAAGCTACGTTCATTTTTCACCGTTATTATTGATCTCTCAGCACAAGTAATCGGGGTTAGACTATCATGGAGTTATTATAGAAGACTCATTCGCAAGATGTCACCCATGGCTCCCCTAATAACATTTTTCTAGATGCTTCAAAAAAAAATTACTCACCCATTCCATATCTAGAACTCCAGTTCCTCCTAGCATTAGAAAAGCAACATTACCTCCTTTTCGGTAATATCGATTGTTGTAGAAGTAGCGCTGAAGTATTTCATATTCAAGGTAAATATTTTAGAACTTTATAAACACTAACTGTTAAATTGGCTATGGAAAAATACCCTCATCCTGAAAAGTTTTAACTTACTTGGGACCACTCTTTATTTTCTTGGAAATGATCGAGTTTCTGCTTAAGGTAGGCCTCTCTACCACTGAATCCACCTTGACTCGCAAAACTCTTGAAAACAATTTGTGTATCATTCGCACTCATTCCCGCCATCAGCTAAAGTGTGACTGAGACCAAATTTCACCCACTTCCGCTTGTACTACATACATTTAAAATTTGTACATAGCGGAAGGTTAGCGTACTGGTCATTAGTAAATGTAAAAATAACACTGACGGTAAGGTTCACTCCCTTCATGCGAGTCGTGGGATCTCCTAAGTGGAGTATCGGCATCCACGAATTCACCAGCCATATCTGTAAAACGTCAGGTTGACGAATCTGATAGGAATTTCCCGTCAATTTTGTCTATGACTCGCTATTGAAAGTTGTAGAAAGTGGGGATAACCACAGTATACTCTCAGAAAGAATATTTCGTCAAGGTTCCACTTCTTTCCTGAAGGAATTAGCTCAGTAATGGCCCGCTTAATAGAATGGGAGCTCTTTTTAAGACAATTTACAAAGTTGTTCTATGTCGCAGACACTGCCACAGACACAGTGGTTTCCGAAATTACCTAATGGGACGAATTTATGATCCTCAAGGTTGTTATGTTTGGTCGAAAATCGGTCCGGATAGGGCGCGATGAGGGCTCAAAGATCGGTAGCGTTGGTCGAGCGTTGAGCACACCCAGAATTTTTAAAAACCCAATTGACGATGGAAATGATTTCTGAGATTTCTACCGAAGATGAGCCTGTGCCTCTGAGGATAGCGCGAAGAACGCTGTTGGGTTGCAAAGCGACCTAGATAGGGTTCAGTAACGGCTCCGAAACCGGCTCGACCGACGTACAGAACCAAAGACCGACGAGTTCTCACGGCGTTGTCGAGACTCTCACAGCGTTGTCGAGACTTCAGAGGGCGCACCATTCGCACCGGAGCGCATAACTAGAGACCCCAAAATACCTTGCTTTTGCCTTTGCGGTCGTGCAGAACCTGCACCACTCAGTCGGACCCTCGGCAATGAGGAGGCAGTATTTGAAAACAGAAGTACTGTAGTGGACTCCTTACGCAATTACCGGAACTAGAATGCCCCCCATTACGCTCGCACCCTTACGTGGGTGAGAGCGTTGACGATTGTCTAGATGATAAGAAACTGTCTGAACCACTCGCAACTACCAAAACAGGAATTCTGAGAACCCAACAAACTAAGCCGATTCTTTCATGTACAGTTTAGGAAAAGAGATGGAGATAACGTCAGGAAACTGTAGTATGAAAAGATTTAATGCCCTTTTGCTCAGGGAAGATAAATAGTGTAATTATCTACATCATCGACATCTTTTCCATCTTATATTATCTTATTATGGTCGTAATAAGAGGCCAGCTACTATTTGAGTAGCAGCTTACCATGGAAAATCATAAAGCTTTACAAATCTGTGAAACCTCAACCTGCTATAATTAGTGTTAACTACGTGTAATGTTCGAACGAAAATTGCTCTCAAACCAAACTCATGAGTCACAATCGCAATGTCGATAATAATAACCAGCAAAAAGTACCTGTAGTACGTTTAAAACCAGAAACAGCAGGCTAGCCATTGCCATCGATAGACCCAATCAAGGGAGCCTTGTTCTGGCGCTGAAGAAAAGTGTTAATGGCAATAATCCGTGTGGCGATTTTCAATCCTCTCCTTTTATTGTCACTGATAACAACTGGGTGACTCAATACATCCAACTATCAAACAAACAGGAATCTTTAGATAAAGTGAAAAAACCATGCACATCCGGCTCCGTGGCCCCTTGACAAGCACATGTACTTTGGTGTTGTTCAATAGCTTATCAGTCATCAACGGAAGGTTCGGATGGTTATGGTTATTGTAAAGAAATGTACATGATTTCATAATCCGTCTCAGTTATTGCTAATCATTGTTTCACCCCGATTTTTGGTACCTTGTAGTTCATGAATGGATTGAGGATCCGGGACATTTTTCTTGCGGAAGTGTACTTTACAGAAATCTGGGCCTTCTCACCTTTGTTAGTCAGCCTTACTGATAAACAAAATCATTTTAATTCCTAGGGTTATAAGAAGGAACGCCTTCTTGGGTAACGGGATCGTTCCGCTCATCCTTGGTCACCGGCGGAATCGTAAGGGAATTCTTTCAAAGCAAAGTGTACAGAAGATGCCGCAAATCGAAGGAACTGGAGACAGCTACTGAGAACAGCGGAACCGCGACTGCGCGATGTCAAGGCTAAGGAGTAGAAGAAGAGAAGCAGACGACAACAGCATCCTGACAACTGACTATTCGTAGTGTCCACTAATATTGAAGTTCAAGGGAGTGTTTCAAGCCGCTGCGTCTACCACGATCACTTTTTTTCTAGACGAAATAGATATTTTTCATATGGCTGACATATTCTATAGTGTGCATGAGCAGTTTGCGAGGAATGTTGCGAGAAGAAAGAACTATGTTTCATTGAGTCAAATTGCAGACGTCCTGCACATGACTCACGTCTGCACATTTGTGCAAGAAACGTCACAGCACGCATATTCTTAGATGACTATCTTGAGGCTGAATGTGTCTTTAACGGTGTATGGTGCTCAGCTGCAAATCATTGCTTACCAGGGTAGATCCCAAGTCAAAGTGGCCATTTGAAATGAGACTCACACTGCTGGACGTGTTTTTGGATGCTGAGTTCAAATCGCTTTCCAAATTTGCCGAGCGTTTCTGTGGTCGGAGTTATGAGGGTGGTTTCAGGGGAACATAAGAAAACTTAAATTACATGGATTCTCAACGGCGGCTTGGTTACGTGGTGGTAAGCGTGAAGCTTCATGTGCTGGAGACTAGGGTTCGGTTTTTGTGAAGGACGGAATTTTGCATTATAGAATTTTCCCTTAAGGACTAGAAAATGCTCTCATTATGGTTTTATCACGTTTTATGACCTTTTAATGCTTTTGCTGATATTTATTCACATAAAGGAATACTTCAGTTTTACTCGCATGCCCATTCACTCTAGGATCACAGTAGGATAACTTTTGCCACTTGAATGACCGAATGTGATACTCTATCACGAAATGCTTGTAACAGAGAACTTCTCACAAGGGGAGCAAGGGATGAAAAAGAACTCTTCACAGCCCATCGCTTCACAGTTACTAATCCCAAATCAGAGGGTGAGTATTCAAGTAGCCGGCGCCATACCATGAATAAAAGAGGAACTACCTAGATCTAACAGCACAGAACTCAAAGTAGACAAGCGATAGTAAGCGGAAATGGGGTTTCGTGTGTACACGTAAAAGTTGAGATCATGAGCTATTACATATGAGGTGATGCGTTTAACCATGTTTTTTAAAGGATGGTCTAAAGAGGCTTCTGTTGGCTGTATTAGCCCCGTGGAAGCCTCGAGAGGAGTGCCATTCCCTTTAACTGCTTTTTGGGAGGTAGGACGCACTGAATAGCTTTCTGGTCTTTGAATGATGTCCACGAGTCCACTATCAAAAGTGTAGGTGAGTCCGGGCCTGCTACGCACCATCGCACCTAATCTAGCATCAACAACCACTCTAGCAACATCATTGCTCATCACATGCGTTTTACTCGCCCGGACCTCCAAATTTTGCGCAGTTTCCCACTCGGTAACAGGCAGGTAGGTAGAAGAAGGTATCAGCAAAGCATTAAAAGGTCATAAAACGTGATAGAATCACGATGACAGTAGTTTCTAGTCCTCAAGGGAAAAATTCTATATAAAGCGAAAATTCCGTCCTCCACAAAACGCGCACCCTAGGCTCCAGCACATGAAGCGTCACGCTTACCACCACACTAAACCGCCGTTGAGAAGAAAGGCGCATCCGTATAATTTAAGTTTTCTTTTGTTAAGCCCCTGAAACCACACTCATAACTCCGTTCACCGAAACGCTCGGCAAATTTGGAAAGCAGATTTGAACTCAGCATCCAAAAACACGTCCAGCAGTGTAGGTCTCATTTCAAATGGCCACTTCGACTTGGAATCCTTCCCTGGTTAGGCTAGGTCCTTCGACTGTTGAGGCATTATCTCGTCTATCCTTCAGCCAATAGATTCTTCTAAAAAAGGCTGACAATCCTTGGAGAGAATCACTTGTGGGGAAAGGAATCTTTGACAATAGATCCTCCTTTCCATTGTTGCTGTTAACACCTCCAATATACTCATGAGCTTTTTTTTTGAACGGTAAGCCATAAGAAATTGTTCATACATCAAAGAAGATATCTCTATGAAGAGCCAACATGATGCTCTCGGATCCGCATACCTTTGATGACTCTTAGTTTTGCCAGTGATTTTACTTTGTGGGCATAGATTCTGCTCGGTAACACATCAACACTGATTATGATTATTTCAAGTAATTCGTATAATAAATAAAGTAGGGTAACATGAAGACCAGTGCACATTGTGCGGGAAGAGAGGCCCAAAAAATAAAAAACCCAATCGCACACGCTTGGTCACGGATTCGAGTCCATACGCGTTTGGGCAACCAAGCTTTCCATCCCTTCAGCGTCGGTGAGTTGATAGTAAGTAGTTGTCTGGAAGGATAAAGGAACTGACTTGTACATCGACTCGTCTTCGCAAGTCGTTGTCGGTTCGCACACGGATTCAGCACACCTCTACATTTCTGGCTGGAAAACGAATGCAGCGGCGCATCCCTCAAACGGGGTAGATAAACGCCCAAGGACTTCCTTTTTCCCCAGCTAGGCTATGCACACTAACGCGCGCATCATATTAATTAATCAATTAATTGATCTGGATACGATTATGATTATGAACTCAAAAGCAACGCTCGACATAAAAGTTACTTCAGTGATTGGCTCACTTAACATTGCTCCGTAAAAAAGTAAATAGAGCTCATTCTACTCGTCTAACAATTGGGTGGGCTCACCATCTCTATGAGCAAAGTCTCCTTAGGAAAGGCCTAGTGGCTCTTTATATCTCATGGAGAAGCAGATTTCATGATTAGGTGGATGTTATCAACGGAACTTTTTCTCTAAATATGTATGTATCATTGGTAGAGACTCATTGATCATTGGCGGTTGGATAAGTTTTGTAGCGAATAATATCAAAACAAAGAGGAACTGTGATCTCTCATTTGTCACAAACCTTGTTGAGTAG